TTTAAATTGCTAATAAACGTTATGAAAAATCCATTTATTATTCGATAACGAATAAATTTCCCTCATTATCATCAAATAAGGTGGTGTTTTTAAAATAAAGTTACATCATTTGTTGGAATGTACATATATCAAATACATTCTCTAAAAGATATGCACTTCTAGCATATTTTAGAGTATAATGAAATAAATGTTTATATTGTGGATAACACATGACAAAGATTGAAACGTAAATTTATTATGATACTAAAAATATTACTTTAAAGGAAGATTGTCCAAGAAGATGAACTAAGGTTCCGAAACGTAGACAACGAAGCATAACAAATATAACTTCATTTAAAAACGGAAGAGGTTATTGCTAAAAACAACTACGGACTTGTTCATAATGTTTTATAGCTATCAGATTTTTATCGATACACAATTCGAATTTACTATATACTATATACTACTATACAATGTGCACTTCGAATTTAACAATGTGTAGGGTTAGTATAACAATTTCGCTTTTGAATATAACATTTCGAATATTTGCTTTATAATATGAGTTTGATCATGGAGAAAAAAAAACTTACTTCAATATGTAAATAATAAAGTCGGAGATTTCTTTACAGCCAGTTCATATTATTGTAATGCATCTTCTATTCCTTCTTAAATTTTGGCCATTTTATAATAAATATGAAGTTATTGATTTTTCGTTTAATCAAATTGCATTTTAATAGCAAAAAGGTATATATCTGAACGAAATATACTCTATTACATATACCCAGCTATGGATATATATTTTTATTTTCTATTTCTATTTTATTTTTATTATATATATTTTAAATTCATGAGAACTAAGGCATAGGTAGTAGTAGGCATAGGAATAGGCATAGACAATAGGTTTTAATTTTTTTGTTCTTGATTTTCAGAAGTCTATAAACTGAAAAAAATTTATATAATAAACTCAAAAAGTTTATACTTTTTGGGTATCACAGCAAGATTTTGAACATTTTGAGATTTATATTTATCGAGATTTTTTGCTGCTCAAGAATGAGATCTCTACTTACACTGCTTTCTTTTGAAATTAAATATATTATTTAATTAATATTAAAAGACTTCATATACAAAAGACTTGTTGACATATTGACTGACCAACAGGTAATACCTGACCACCAATTCGGCTTTCGCACATTCCATTCGACGACACATCAATTGCACAGAGTTACAGACTACATTGCTGGAGCTTTAGAACAAAAACTATATGCAGCTGGAGTATTTTTGGATGTTGCTCAGGCGTTTGATAGTCTGGCACCAGGGTCTTCTCTTTAAACTAAAGACTATACTTCCATACACGTACTATCTTATCCATCAATCTTTCCTCTTCGACAGATTTTTTTCAGTTCGGCAGGGCTCGGAAGTGTCTTCAGTCCGTCCAATCGTGGCCGGAGTTCCCCAAGGTTCAATACTAGCCCCACTACTTTACGTTATATACGCTTACGATATACCTATTGACGATGAGATCTTGACAGCTACATATCCAGACGATACAACAATCCTCACAAAACATCAAGACCCTACACAGGCCTCACTAACTCTACAACATCATTTGCTTAAACTACAAGATTGGTTCAAACTATGGAAAATTCGACTTAATCATGACAAATCCAAACATATAACATTTACTCTTCAAAAAAACACCTGTCATCCAGTTTATATTGACAACAGTAAAATTCCTCAAACGGACACGGTACTTTACCTTGGACTCACCTTTGACAGAAGGATGACATGGGGCCCACATGTTAAAATGAAACGCATGACACTTAACAAACGACTGAAACCACTTTACTCTCTTTTTGCCAAATCTTCAAAACTAAAACAGAAACTGAATACATATACATACTTACTTAAGCCCATATGGACATACTCATCACAAATATACGGCATCGCTAAAAAGACCCACCTACAAAAACTTCAAACGTTCCAATCAAAATTATTGCGACTCATAACAAAAGCACCTTGGTACGTGAATAACAAAACTCTACATACTGACCTCCACTTTCCAACAGTTGACCAACATATAACGACCCTATATCAACGATTTTACACAAATTTAAATGGACATAATAACAGACTTATAAGAGACATGGACACAGCTGAAATAATTCAGAACATGAGCAGGAGACTAAAAAGGCGTTGGATGAGGGATCTCCTGCCTTAGACAACCTAAGTAATTGGAACAAGTTAGGGAAGAGGTAATGCTGAGTACTTTCCTTCCCCATGCCTGTCATGTCATTACATCATTATCGCCATCACATTTGCTGATTGTCAACTTATTTTTGACAGGCGCAATACATATTTTGTAGACAAAAAAAAAATATATTATTTATAAAATTTTTTTGTCCCAAAGCCTTTAATTTGTAAATTCATCATCAAATTCAATGACTAAGCCCTCATTTTAAAGATATTTTTTTCCTTCAGGTGGGAAAAATAGTCATAACCCCGCGAAATTTAAGGACAAACAAATTATAAAGTAAACGAAACTTTATAATAATATGATTTTTTACTAAATTACTAATACTAAATTACCTACAAAACAGAAAAAAAAACACGTGAAATTGGGACGATAATTACCAATGATACCTAATAACTTCTTTCTCTTAAACGATAATGCATTTCCTTACATAAGACATAGGGTCTACTCATTTCCACATTATTTTGAATCTGATATATTCTGTGAATTATTCGTACGGGCCGTTTAGTAAATTTATATTTATTCTTAAATTTCTCTTCACCTCAGTTACTCGATGAATAGAAAATGAGTGTTAAATGAATTCTAGAAGAGATTCGGAATTTGAACAAATTACTGGACTGAGACAGTTGGGAAGGATATTACCCACCGCAGGATTGATTCGGAAACGTTCTTCGCGACACAGCTGTACACGAAAGATATTGGTTTCGACGAAAATAAGAAGGAATGATCCTGAGAGGCGACATCAGTTCTAAAACGTGCGGCTGTTTTTGAAAGAAAGCAAATTGGTTATTTATATTTGTTGGACGAAACGTGACCGAAAAGTAAGGCGAGGCCTAAGGTGCATTTGAATTTAAATGGGTACATATTTTTTATCGAAATTATTATATACAGTGTCTCAATTCTTAATGGCTAACCCTAGCGGGTGATTATAGAAAAAAAATCATTTGCTACATATGCCGATTACGACAGAAAAGGATTTAAGACTAATTTTGTGTTTTTCTTAAGGTGGTCACGTTTTCTATTATATTTGAAGAAATTGCTCAAAAACTGTTAAAGATAATTAAATTCTAAGTACACCATCGTAAAGTAGACAACATTTTCTTTGAGAAAACAATGAATAAATTTACAAAGATCATTAATAAAGGGGTCTCAGGATATCTAATACAGCCTCATTATTGCTACTGTTACAGTACCCATACTTGATCAGCAATACATTTATAATCTCTATTCGTGATTTTTTTTCCTTTTTCTGTATTCATGTGACATTTTTCTGTATTCCCGATTTGTACGCAACAGTACAGCGTTAGAACTCCTGAAAGTTCTTTTGATCATTGATCTAAGTAAATTCAAATATTAATTTTTTTAAAGAAAAGTTTATCTATTTTACGATGGAGTACTTACAATTAAATTATCTTAGTTATTTGGCAATAATTACTTCCAATTGGTAACAATTGAATATATTTCTTATATTATCAACGTTACATGTTAACAAGTTGACGTTTCGGGATATTTATTCCCATCTTCAGAACTAAAATCCCAATAATATTGTGGATGCAAGGCTTAAAAATAATATAATGTGCTCCATCGTCAAATTTCTAATTCGTGTTATAAAATATTTCATCTAGAGCAACATCATGATTTAGACCAATAATTGGTTGTCTGCCATAGTGTATAAATTATCATAGTTATTTTTAATAGTTTTTGAGCAAATTCTTTTTATTCAATAAAAGACGTGACTATCTCAAGTATAATAACTCGAGGCCTAACATTACAAAAAATTATTTCACGAATAGGGATTACAGAGATATACTGATGGGGTAACTGCAGCAGTACATAGGCCGTATTAAACGTACTGAAAGTCCTAATTATCATTACCCTTTTTTAAAATTTTTATTTCTTAATTATATTTACAACTGTATTAAAGAAATACATTTAATAAATTTGAACATATGGATATAATGACGTGAAAATACTTGTTGAGAAACTAACCAATGGTATCACTGTTATGATATGTCTACATTAGATCACGGAGCCATCTTCTTTTCAGATGCATCGGAGGGTTATCAGGAATTGAAGAGGAAGCAAGGTTAGAAACGAGAGGGTTGGGATGATTCTGAAGTTTATTATGGAAGGATAGGTATCTGGATTGGGACAGATATAAAACAAAAGAAACATTAAGGTCATTATGGATGGTTTTATTTGTAACAAAGTAGGGAGCATTGAGGATTTTACGAAGGATTTTGGATTGTAAGAATTGGATACGAGAGAAATTTGATGGTTTAGTGGAGCTCCATAGATTAACTCCGTAAGTCCAAATAGGCCTTATTATAGTCATGTATATGTGTCTTTTGTAATTAGTTGAAAGTATAGAGCGTTCGTCTAATAAGTGCTGAAGTAATCCGTCGAACGGTTTCTTGTCGTTTCAGTCTGGTATGAGTAAACATGATCACTGTTTTCTCAAAACATTGTTGTCTTCTTTAAGATGATCTACTTCTTAATTTAATTATCTTGAACAGTTGTTGAGTAATTCTTTCATATTCAATAAAAACCGTGACAGAAAAAAAAAACCCCACAAAATTGGTTATAGCTCCTCTTCCGTTTGAAATTGGTCCATGCTTTAAATGTAAGTTTTTGTTGGAGATTTTGTCTAAATTAACCCTCCAAGGTATATATATAATAACATGTTATACTATTTTTAATTTAGCATCATACATATACCTACAATATATATCGTTATAAATAATATAGAGCTGTATATGACTAAATTTAGCTACGATCCCCACCGACTACCGACGAGAGAGCTGATTGAACTATCAGATGCTGGAAAGGGTTTATCTCGCACTTTATGGCCAATGGGTTCTGATCTCTGCCTGGAGCCAACAGATCTCTGGATCCCCATCTTATGGATGGCTGGATCAGATACCATCTGCCTTCCAGCCTTCTGGTGATAATACAGAGATTGTCATCATAAACCGTTTGTAAGTAATATACCATTCGACAGTCTCTTATTTAATATATTTTATTTAAAGCTTAATATTTAAGAAGCGTTATAAAGATTCTTATTATGTACCTAAAATACTCATCATGTACCTGTCCTTTTCACTTATGCGAATTGCAAGCGTCTACTCATAGTAAAATTCCTTATTATTGTCATGTTCACCTTTAATTATTTTACAACATTATTATTACTCCATTTTTACTATTAAATGATTCAAATAAGTTAAAGTTACCTTGATTCTGAATCACCCACATGTCATCAGTCTCATTTCTATTCATTGACTGGTTATTCTTATAGGAGTAGGGGAAGACTATTTATTATAAACATATATAATGCTGTTTCTCAATATTATATGTGGATCTATTTTAAGTAATATTAGCTAATTTATTTCAAATTTTGATTTTTAAAATTCGCATAAGTGAAAAGGACAGGTACAAGATAAGTATTTTAGGTACATAATAGGAATCTTTATAATTTGAAATATGTTAAAGTTAATATATGATTATAAATGAACATTTTTTTAGACTTGAAAATGGCTCGACGAGCTGAAACGTCGTCATTGTAATGAGTAGTCATCAAGTGACATTTTTGTTTTTAAATTTGTGTAAATATGGCTACTAATAAATTAACTTGAAAATAATCTGAACGTTGTTCATCGTCTCTGGTTTCGTATCTCAATTTTTTTTTAAAAATCGAAATAAGGTAGTTTAAGAAACCCTACATTTGAAATTATAAATGAGGAACAACAAACACTTAAATTCATTTGAAGTATGAGCCAATTCCGAACGAAAAAGGAGCTGAGTCTATTCAACTTTATGAATAATTATGATTTTTGCAATCACAGGCTTTTGCAGTGTGTTGTGGTACACATATCTTGTGGTACACAGTTTTTATTTTTATTATACTGATAACGAATAATACTATTTATTGTTTTATATATCAACAGGTATATATTTTTATATTCCATCACTAAAATGCTGTGCTTATAAAATTGATTTAGCGTTCCTTTCAAAGTTCATTTATTGATTATTATGTTATTGTTTTAGCTCTAATATTGTAGTATTGCAACCATATTACCCAACTGTTTTCGTTAATATACCCTAGTGCTATTATTATTCTACTAAGAGCTATTATTCTTAATTTATTACTAGTGTTTTAGTTATTCTTTATTGAAATAGATCTTTTGGCTAGATTTATTGTTAATTCATGTGAACAATACTGTTATTTTTAAGGGACCTAGTCCCAGAATAAAGACGATTCTCTATTAAAAAAAAACTATGTTTCATATTATTTGTATCTCTTTGTTGTTTACAAGTTTCTTTTTCTTTTTAAAATCATAACGTCTTTTCTATGTTTATATATATATATATATATATATATATATATATATATATATATATATATTGTTCGATATTGATAAGATATAAGATGATACATAGCATGAAACACGGGCAAGGTAATATAGAGGGAGGAGTTACGGAAGTGTATTAGCAGGCTTCCGGTAGATATGGCGGGAGAGGGAATGAAGTTGGCGGGAAGATTGCATCCCTAATGACTAACTAGCGAGCAACTGGCTGGAAGTTATTTAACTGCAACAACAATTTGCATATCCTTACCTCAACATTATGCAGCCACGGTCTGATCTTTATTCATCGTCTCGTTTATCGTCTTCTCCCGATCGGTTCTCGGTTCAGTCTTGAGGAAGCAGTAGGTAAATATCTCTAAGGCCATCGAGAATAAGGACAGTTACGAAAATACCACGTTGGCAACATAATCCTAAACACTGACCTCACATACCGAGTATAAACAAATAGAAACGAAAGAATTTCATGACAAATTATCAGTACACCATAACATACTCATAAATGACATGGCCACAACATTCATTACTCTTGATCTTGCACTTTGCGAGACCAAGACCAAGATCGGCTTGCTGTTACAAGACCAAGACCAAGACAAAATCCATTTTCTGAATAAAAATTAAGGCAAAATAGTTACAAATATTTGATAATATTAGTTAAAATATGTAAAGAATTGGTATAATCAATATACTTTTGTATTTAACTCTTCTAATTTTTCATTCGGGCTTGGTTAGGTTTCTCCTATCTAAAAAACTACCATAATATCTCTATAGCACTAACGGATCCAGGATTTAATTTTGGGGGAGCTTCAGCCCGAAAGCTTTTTTTTTTCATTAAAATGGCGATAATTAGTTTAGAAAAAAAAGAAAGAAACTAGCTACCTATATGAAATGGTGTTTAAGTGATTCCTAAAGCCCTTTTAAATGTAATCACACGAACAATAATACTTTAACAGATACTTTTTAATCTTTTTTTTCTATAAAACATGGATATATTTTACCATTTTGGGAGGGGGCTTCAGCCCGAAAGGCCCCCCTCCCTCCCGTAGATCCGCCCGTGCTCTATAGCAATAAGCTAATAGGTAACTGTTGCGAGACTCTTGCGCAAGACCAAGACCACGATCAAGACTGAGTGCGCAAGACAAAGACTCGTCTTGGTCTATCGTTTGGGCAATACTACCAACAACGTTTGTTACTTTAAATGGTGACAATATAACTACTTTTTATCACACGTGAGCTCCATTGAAAGTCCCCGATTGAAAGTCAAGAAATAAAGATAAATATAGCTAAAAAAAAGGCACAGTAGGACCTTAAAAACGTGAAATCTCAAATTTTGAGAGGGGTTAAGTTTTTGAATATTTTGGTCGATAACAGTGGTTGATTATTGAAAACAATAAACCAAAATGAATCTAAGATACAGCACAAGGAGCGTCTTAAACATATGTAAGAAATAAAATCATTTATAAAACTGAGGTTATGAAAAGAAAATCTGTATCAACGATTTTATACAAAATTGAACGGAGATAACAACAGATTAACTAAACACATGGCCATTGCTGAAATTCACCTGGATGTGTGGAGGGTACTAAAATGGAGCTGGATGAGAGATCTCTTTTCTTAAACAACCTACGTCATTGAAACAAGTCAGGTAAGAGTTGCTGCTGGGCACTGTCCTTCCCTATCTTCGGGATATCATGATTTCTTTCATTATCATCTCACGTGTAATTGACAGCTGCCAAAATAATGTTTAAAGACAAAAAACTAAAATTAAAATCCAATTTAAGATTATTTGAACTCGGGATATAATGAATGAATGAATTTTTTATCGAGTATTTATACAATGACATACAACAAAAGTATTAAAGCTCAATGAAAATATATGCGGCTTGGTTCTTGATACCGTCAGCCAGAGGCTGGCCTTGGCAAAATAAGTATTATCGATACAATAATATAAACTAAAACCTAATATATCAATTTTAATAAATACAGTGTTAATGCTAACAAATACAGAAATACGATGTATCAGCTCATAATATCACAAATATAACTACACATATACATACACATTATTAATATAGATTCATAATTGGTAATTGGTTGACTGTCGTGGATGATGAAGAGAAGAATGGTTGGGATGTTCAGTCAAAAAGGAAGGCAAAAATAAATGATAATATTTATTTTTTACATATGCCGACGTTTCGACCTGAAGTTCAGGCCTTCATCAGGCCTGTCTCCTTAAGTGTGGTAAGGAGAATCGCTGCCCCCTGAGAATGACCCAAAAGTCATTCTCCCTGCCACACTTAAGGAGACAGCCCTGATGAAGGCCTGAACTTCAGGTCGAAACGTAAAAAATGAATGTATGTAAAAATATGTAAAATATGTAAAAATATGTAAAAAATAAATATTATCATTTATTTTTGCCTTCCTTTTTGACTGAACACCCCAACTATTCTTCTCTTCATTCTTGATAATATAGATATTTTAATATAATTACATAGATAATTTTTCCGGCTTAAACATTATTCATCTGATAATTAAATTCTTGGCACAAGGCGTATCTGTATTGCCAGGTTCTTTTACAATAATTGGATAGACTTACCCAATTTTTTTCGTTTAAATATGTAAAAATTTCCCCAAAAGTCAGGAATGTCTGTGATAGGATAGTCTGGAGACTATCTTTTCCAAAATATTTTTTCCTAAATTCTTTCAGAACAGGACATACACCAAGAAAATGCACGATATTCTCTATCTCATACCTATTGAATAATGAACATAATTTATTACTTGATTCATAATACACCCTACAGTTTAATTGTATTAATTCTGCTCTGGTCTTAAATATCCATTTTATTATCGTTACATTATATTTCTTATCGAAATAATTGTTCCCCGATATATCATGATTTAAGTTACTGTATATATTAGTTCTATTAGAATTTTTTGCTAGGGTTTTGAACCGATTTAAACTCGGGATATCAAAACAATCGTTTACAAACGGCTATTTGTAGAATGTAGAAACATTGTAAAAAGTACGGGTGTTTTTCAAGGATATTCTTTCTAAACGACTTTAGCGAAAGGGATTAGCGCACCTGAAAAAAAACCACGTGAATTGGCCCTAAATACAACTGGAGAAAATTCTGAAATGTTGTTTTTTTCCCCCTCTCTCCCTCGTCCAGAGCTTATGATCGAGAACCGAGCTGGAGAGCTGTCAAGGATATCTTTTGTCGTTCGCTAACGAGGCGGTAATTTGGCGGGGATGGGGAGGGGGGGCCATTGACAGGGCGGGAACGAGCTCTTCTCTCCCCCCAACAAGATCCCCCCTCCAAGCTAAGAACACGCGGGGACATGAAGAGGCAGGCTGTTTACACAATTGCAAGCAGATCGATTCTGTTACTTTTGGAGTGTCGGGTGCTCTCGAGTGCTCGGGCCCGATCCGTGTTCTAGGGCCATTGATGTCCTGGGGCCATTCATGCAGCTCCGGATCGTCCTGAGGGGAGTTATTATAGTGAACCGCCTGAGGGAAAATGGTGCACTGCATATCAGCGGCTTAGAAACGTATATATAGGAAAATATATATATGCATAGTAAAAATTATCTTTTTTAATTTCTATTGGAACCCGAGGTGCTTTGCAATTAAAACACAGTCCTCTCTGTGTCTCTAGAAAAATTGTCTTTAATCCCTCAAAAAGCTAGATGATAAGAGTAAAAATATAAAGGAATGTGTTAGAAGGAGAAAAACAAAATTAGACCTATAATAAACACTGCAAATTATTTCACAATGGTTTATTATTTCCGAACAATTATACATCTAAAGTAACATTACCTTCCTATTTACAAAGAAAAATAAATAAAAGGTGATTCCAATTATTTGACTATTGGAACTTTTTTTTTAATCATTAGTAATATGCTGAAAAAAACAGCATTTCTTCAGGAACACATTTAAAATTTAAAAACCAAACAAAGGATATAATATTTGCAGTAGAACATATTATAAAATCAGGAGCAAAGATATGGTCTCCAGTTTTTTTTTATATTTGCAGTAGAACATATAGAAAAAACTGGAGGCCATATCTTTGCTCCTGATTTTTTTTTTTTTTTTTTTTTTTTAGGAAATTCCGTAAACATTGAAAAAACCATATACAATATCGAAAAAAAAAAATGTAAACTTTTTGAGTTATTCGGAATTTAATTTTACCACCCCCGTAACTTTTTTTCCAACTTCTTTTCGTTGAAGTATGTTGTATAGATAAATATAATGGGCGTCGAGAAAACGGCTTAAGCGAAGTTTCATTGAAATCGGTACATTCGTTTAGGAGCTACAGTCTATAGCAACGTCTGTTTTTCGGCCGCCATTTCGAAAGTAAAATGCGGATAGTAATGACGATGAAGGAGGAGCATCCTCGGGTTACCTCTGATTTTATATCCGAATATGAAAAAAAAAAAACATTCTAGTAGTTTCGGAGAAAATGCGCGGATGGCGGACGGCCAACAAAATTTTTATTCGTTTTTCGAATTCTAAGCATTCCGAAACGTGAAACTTCAAATTTTGAGAGCGGATTAAGTTTTTGAATTTTTTGGTCGATCACAATGGTTGATTATTGAAAATAATAAACCAAAAAGTAAGATGTGTGCTTTAGATCACACGATAGAAGTAAAATCATCAACAAGGCGAGATTTATATGAAATATAAATTATATTTTAATCTGCTTCTGAGATATTTTAATCCATATCTTCCATAAAACCCTTTAATTTGGGTATGCGGTTCTATTGTATACTTGTATAAACTTGGCCACCAACTTGCTATGAAATAAGTCTAGAGGGAAATCTTCCCGCTAATTCGATTCAAAACTTCTCTAACGCTAAATTTGTGTTCTGGGGTCAACTTCTCCTGCTATTCTTAAATCCTTTTATACATTATTTTATTTATATGTGTTATAAATTAAAAAAAGGAATGGTTAAATAAATTCAAAAAGAAACTAACCTATTTTTAACTTAAAAGGAACAAATTAAAACCTCTTAAAAAACGTCTGCCAAATAAGGTCAGTACAGCTTCCTCGCTGTTTTCTATTGCCTGAAAAATATCTATATTACAAGGTCTAAAATTTTTCCTATCAGAATAAAATCTTTGGAAGATGTCGTTTTCGAAAATTCAGTAATCCATTAACACATAAACGTTTGATATCCACGAGTTTCATTCATCAGCGAATACTTAAATGCGAAAGAGTTCCGTATTTACAGATTGTATATTTCATGATTCGTGATTAAAAATAAAGATTCCAGAGCATACTGAACATGAATATCACTAATGAATATTTAATAGTTGACCGTTGCATTATAAAGGAAGGTTATGGTCAGGGGTGGGAGTCATAAA